ACAGAGCGCATCTAATCCTGTCAGAGACCCGAGAGCACATGCAGGCAGCCTGCCCCTCATGGGGGGCGTTCGTTCAAAAGGGGTTTAACACAGCTTGCTCGGTGAAAACAAGAGGCTGCTGCCACCGATCCGAGCCCTGCCGATGATCTCTCCAGAGAGGTGCCATGCCCTTTCTGTTAATGTATCATGGGAGAGCTGTGCTAGGCCTAGGGTTGCCAGTGCTGGTTGGACATATTCCTGGAGATTTCATCACATGACACAATCTTTAATTAAAGATTAATCTTTGATTCCTGGAGACTCCAGGCCAATCTGGAGGGTTGGCAACCCACGCTAGGCCCCATCTTTCATAACAGGCAGGGATATTGGCACCTTGGTTTTCTCCTCCTCTGTCCATCTTTCTTTTTCTTTCTTTCTTTTTGTTTGTTTAAAAGAGTTGAGGGAGATTTGAAAGGGAATTCCTTCTGGAAGTCTGGCCTGGTAACGTTAATGTTAACAAAACACCAGCGACTGTACAAAATAAGTTCAGATTGAAGTGGGATGAAGGAAGAACGTCACTTTTTCCATTCCCCGCTTAACCCCTGAATCCCTCCTCTGCTCCCTTCCCTCCAACCATCCTCTTCCTTCCCAGAAAGAAACAGGGAGTTTAAGGTCCAGGGCTTGTGAACCAAAGAAACTTTCTGAAGGGGGAGGCCCGGCTCGCGTCGTGTTTATTGTGAATGAAAGAATTGAATGAAAAGCCAGTTGGAAAAGAAAATACCTGACACTGGCACATCTATAAAATCTTTAGTATTTATTTTCACTACCAAACACTAAATCAGAGCAGTCCGTCCACCCTGGAAACTTCGGCAAGGGGGTGGGGGAATCGAAAGGCATGGGGTGTTTTTCTTAAAGGAGCTGGGACTCAAACCAGATTTTCATGGGATTAAGAGCACCTGTATCCTGTCTTTTTAATTGTATTAAAACATGCCTACTGTGAAAGATTTCATCCCAACTAGAAGCCAGACGAGTGGTGGTTTATATCCCGAGAAATATGGAGCATTTTATGTGATAATAAACACTTGTCTGTATTCTCAGCGGAGCTGGTAGCACTGACTATCATTAAGGTTGCCCAACACTTCCCATTACAAGGCCCTTTTTTCAGTTGCTTATAAATTTGCCAAATCTTAACTGTTTTGGCTGAAATTTCCATGCTGGACGTCTGCCTCAGGCTGATTTTTTTTGTGGTAAGTTTCTGCAAAAAATGTTTTTTTTCCCCCAGAACAATGTTAGGGAAAGAGAGGCGTGTTACAGTTTGTTTGTTTTTAATGACCATTTCATTGAGATGCTCCCATGTTTTGGGGCAAGGACTTGAGATTTGCCAGGGGGTCGTCATGGTGTCAGGGATGTGCCGTCAGCCATCTCTGTGATCATACACCCAAATATGGCTGAGTTATAAGTCTCCGTTTGCACATGCTCAGTAGAGACTTGTTAGAGTTTGGCAGCTGAATTCTCTGAAGATTCCATCTGACTGAGCATGGTCCAGCGCAGGGCTGCAGCATCGCTGTGATGTTGGGCATGGGAGCTCAGAGTAGAGAGACTGTCCTGTGTTCTCAATATCCTTCTCCCTCCCAATGCACAGGCAGCTTTAATCCTGGCATGTCTTAACTTTTGCGTGCTTGACTTTGCAACTACAATTTGTTAGTCTCTAAGGTGCCACAAGTACTCCTGTTCTTTTTGCAACTACAGTGATCTAAGATTTTTTTGTAATGTAGTTTAGGGTGACAGCCTCCTCTGAGCTGTGCTTATCACTCAGAGATGTTACAGAGGCAAAGGCAGTTAGATTTGAGATACCACTGCTTACCCCTATATATTAAAGTAGGCAATAACTTGCAGTATTTCACAGACACTGTGCAGTAACCGATAGTAAATATTGACTTTTTAATGGTGACCACTGAATCACTGGCTTTGGATCCTGTCAGCCTCATGGCAATTAGCAGCACCGAACTGGAGTCTGATGGTTTTGAGGTTAAGATACTGGGCTGGTATTCAGAAGACTTGTGCTCAATTTTTTTGATTTGCTGTTAATTTCTCTGTGTGATATTAATTTCTCTGTGCTGCAGCTATCCTGTACAGTAGTGGTAAAAATCCTTTCTTTGTCTTGCCTATTTAGCTTGTAAGTTCTTCAGGGCAGGGACTGTCTCTTCCTACGTGTTTGTACAACAGTAGAGTTAGAAATAGAATCCAGGAGTCTTGACACCCAGTCCCCAGTGCTCACTATTAGACAAGAGACACTCACTGCCTTTGTATTAAGACACAAAACGGGGTTCTCTAGCAGCTTTAGAAGCCAGAAGGCTGCGGTCGTCCCCCACTGAGCCACCAACATATTCCTTCTATTCCTTTGGCAGCTTTCTGACTCATTGGACTCTGGTAGGGGGAAGGGTGGAGATCTTCGATGTTATTTCACCCTTTATTTTGAAACAGGGGGGAGAGGTGGGAAAGAGTGAACAATCAAATAGTGTCTGAGTCCACCCAAATCCTTTCTCCTCTCTGCCTCCACAATGAGTTTGTTGTTTAAGATAAAACTCAGACCGGCTTTGAGAGGGGTGATTTCGTGTCTCCGGATTGGCTGGGGAGAGAGGGAGTCCCTTCCTTCGGAAAAACGCAGCCAAAGACAACATGAGCAACAAAATGTTACAATGCGGACTTGAGATCTCGCTTGCTTTAACAAAGCATAGTTCATTAAGGGCGCTTTACACCGTTACAAAAATAAACCCTGCCGCACACACAAGGGTCCAAACAAAAGGGCTTTATAAAGACAATTCCCCCCTCTGTGTCCCTCCTCCCCACCCCGGCTTTTTTAAACCCAGGCCCAAACACATGGTTTTTTGTTTATTGTAATGGATTCTGCTGCCTTCCTCGTCCTGGAAAAAAGTGCAGAAGTGGAAGAGGTTCTGCCCATGCTGTAGTGTAGCCCGTGGCATCCCAAACAGCTCAGCTCATTAAACACAGCTGCATCAGTTGGGAATTCAACAAAGGGGGGGAAATACCCAAGGAGCGCGTGGGAGAGAGTGCGGAACACACGGCACTGCTTAATCCGCCCCCCGCTTTCTGGTGGGTGAGTGGGTGACGCCGTGGGCTTAGAAAGCTGTTGCTCTCTGGGTTGGATTCACTGGGGTGCTTACTCAGTCCTTTTGAGGTAGATACATTGATTTGCAAGCAAGTTAGATCATGAGCTTTTTGGGGCGGGGGCTGTCTTCTTTGTTGTCTGCGTGGTCAAGCACAATAGGGCCCTGGCCCCTGGCTGGGATCTCTTGGTGCTACCAGATAATGAATAATAACGTTTGCTCAAAGTTCTTACAGGTGAGACCTTCAAAGGCACTCGTCCTGCTCTGCTTTCCATGGAGGTCGAGAATCCCTTGGGCAAAAGACTCTTCCCTGTTGTATGCCCATGGCACGGTGGATGATTGGGAGGCGTTTCCCCAGAGCTGGCTGCATTTCGGGGGAAAGTTTGGAATATGGCCTTGGTGAAGCTGCTTGGGAGGGATGGTGCTATAGTGTGTCAAATAACATGTTTCAGGTGTTAATTGCCTTGCTTGCTGTCTGGCCCGCTAGGCACTTCTTACCTCCTTCTCCCAGTCCAGCAGGCTAAGGGTGCAGGTCACAGTGGGACTTGTCTTCACACCTGATCTCAACAATGCACTGCACTAGGCAAAGGGGTGAGGCCGTCTGTCGCCTGCATGCTCAGCCATGGTACCTTCTGTCCCTTTTTGGGGCCCTTTCCAAGAAGCAAGTCAGTCTAGACGCTTAGCCCGGGGTTCTCAAACTTTTTTTTGCTGGGCTTCCTTTTGAAAATATTTCAGGCTGTGACAACCCCCACACCACCATTCTTGGTACCAGACATAGCGTTTGCAGCATCAGTGCAGACCCTTCCAGAGCTAAGTAACCGTGCCATGCCAGCCTTACTTCTGCGCTGCTGCTGGTGGTGGCGCTGCCTTCAGACGTGGGCGGCCAGAGAGTGGCTGCTGCTGGCCAGCCACCCAGCTCTGAAGGCAGAACTGCCACCATCTTAGCCTATGCCAATTTACCCAATCTCAGTGGGACAGGGGTTCCCCTCCATACCCACGTGGGAGCTAGTCACTGTTCTGCTTCCCCATAGGGCTGCTGCAGTCTGACTCACCACTTAGTTAAAGGGTTATAAGCCTTGGTGTACTGGATGAGAAACATAGACCTACCTCTATCTTCATAGCCAGCATTAATGGCTTGTCAATTTTAAGGCCAGAAGGGAACCTTAGGGTCATCTGAGCTTCCACATAACACAGGCATCGTTTTTACTTCCGCCAACCCAGGGCCTCGGGCACAAACCGCACGTCTCTGTTGGCAGACCAGCTGCTAATCACCTTCTCACCCCGATGGGAGCTGAAGCCGCACTTCCTAGCATAGGCAGCCACTGTTAGAGCCTTTAAGCCGTTGGAGCTAGATAATAGCATCCCCTAGCACTTTTCGTCCATAGATCTCAAAACGCCTTACTAAAGAAGGTGACCATCATTACAGATGGGGAAACTGTGGCATGGAGTGGTGACTTGCCCAGGTTCATGTGAGCAGCAGAGCTGGGTAGAGCCCAGGTCTCCTCATGCCCAGTTAGGTGCCCTACCTGCTGGGCTGTGGTGTGCTGCCTCAGGTTAGTTCTCAGTGCCTGTAAAGTACTTTCAGACCCTTGTATGAGAGGTGCTAATGCTACAATATATACAATAGATCTTTGGCCAGCAGCATTTTGACCATTGTGGAGCCAGGAGAGATGGGAGCAGCTAGGGCTTTCTAGAAGACTGTAATACTCAGTGGCTCATCACTCATTTTGCTGCACCTTGAACCTCGTATTGTCCTTTCCTCCTGTTCCCGTTTCCAGTATAGACAGACATAGCCCTGTCTCTACACTCCTGTGATTTCCCTAACTCCCCACCTCCCTTCGCTGCAGATCCGTACGCCATCGTCTCCTTCCTCCACCAAAGCCAGAAGACGGTGGTGGTGAAGAACACCTTGAATCCCCTCTGGGACCAGACTCTCATCTTCTACGAGATTGAGATCTTTGGGGATCCCCAGAATGTTGCTGACATCCCCCCCAACATCGTTGTGGAGATTTACGACCACGACACCTATGTAAGCGTTGTCATGCATCGTGCACACCTATCCACAGGGCTGGATTAAGGCGTAGGCAAACTAGATGTGTGCCTTGGGCCCAGATTTTGGGGGGGGAGCCCTGATTTGGCCTGACCACCCCCGTCATAATGGAGGGGGGGCCGGGCCATGCCTGAGTGGTGCTGTGACCAGTATGCACTGGGTCATAACGCCACTCTCTCAAATTTGGCCTGGCTGTCCCTCCGTCATGATGGAGCCTGGGGCCATATGGGGAAGTAGGGCCCAGATGTGTGTATTTGACTAGGCCTGAGTGATGGGTTATTCTGTCCCTCTACAGCCACGTGTGTGTCAGCCAGAGAGACTCATGCTCTCTGTAACGGTTCATTCAAAGCCTAAATGTCATGCACGTTCCCATGGTCATGGACTTTCTAGCTTGGGAGTCCCTGCAGACAGTTTAACAGTGTGGCCAACTCTTGTGATTTTATTGCACATTGCTGATAGTGGGTGATATTTTACTCCAAGTGCCAGCTCCTGGAGTCAGGTGCTTCTGGGTGAATTTCACCTTTGGTTTAAAAAATGTACATTTCTAGCCATGATAGTTACAGAGAGAAGCTTAAAAACATGCCCTCGAAAGGCTCCAAAGCCAGAAGGCATATTTAAAAGCCCCCAAATTTATGATTTTTAAAAATCTCATGATTGTTCCCCCCCCGACTCCTGATGTTGGAATGAAAGGGGCTAGCCGTAGAAAGTGAGACAGATGGGGGGTAGCCATCTAAGCCAAGAAGTTGTACTATAAGCGAGGCCTCCGCAACTGCCATGACAGCCAATGTGTTGCTTTCAGGGTGCGGACGAGTTTATGGGCCGCTGCATTTGCAAACCCAGCTTGGAGCGCTCCCCGAGACTGTCCTGGCACCCTGTCGCTAGGGGGAACAGAAAGGCAGGAGAGCTGCTCGCCGCTTTCGAACTGATTCAGAGAGAGAAGGTGAGGCATGGAAAGGACTGCCCCGGCTGGGTCCGAATTCCCCTGGAATTATGAGACCAGATCTCATTGGACTCTATGGGTGCTCAGCAGGGTCAAGCTTCTAGCGTGCAGGTGCTGGGAACCAATTTGGGCCAGTCTGCTGGCTAAAATAGCTCTCCAATTGCCTGCAACCAGCTTTAACAGCTGCAGGCTATTCCAAGGACGTGGGTCATCTCAGCGGTTCCTTTCCACAGTCTTGGCTGCCACGTTTAGGCGGGGCTGCTGCTGTCTAGCCCAGCAGCCACCTGAAGGGAGGCACTTCCTGCCGTTTGAGGCCTGCGGTTCCTTCATTCGGCGTTTGCGAAACCAGAGCATTGGCTGCCCCTACCTCAGTCTCTCAGACGCCTGAAGAACCCAGCTCCGCGTATGGAGGCGTTGCTCACGGCTCTAGAGTTAGGGCTGAGCTGGGATTCGGCTCCGTTGTGCTGCGTGGAGAACGCGGTGGACCCTCCCCACAGTTGCGGGGCTTATCCTGGGAGCCCGGAATGAGCTTCCGGAGGTTTCTATGTCTAGATGGGAAGAACGAGCAGGCTGAGCAGCAAGCGACCGAGTCGAGTGTCTGCCCTTTAACAAGCGGATGGGAAAGCGACCGGTCTTTGGCCCCAAACCAGTTGGGAGAGACTCTTCTTTGGCCCTGTACGTGCTTATCTTACCCCCCACCACGCACAGGCCGCCCCCTCACCGTCTTCACCTCCATGTGCTGTTCCACTCACCCAGGTTTGGCTGCTCCCCAGGATTGTCCCGGTGCCAGGGAGAGTGGGTGGGATGGAAGGCGAGGGAAGTGGCTGCTTCCCCAGGAAATGTTAAGGTCGCTCATTGAGTTCCCTCCTCCCTGCTGCTTCTCTCTCCCTCCCCGCTCCAGGATCTAAGCGGGGCATGCGGGAATCAGAACCGGGGTCTGCACTTGTGATGTCCTCATTACCAGCGGTGGGCTAAGGGACGTAGCTTGGGGCTGTGGGTGGGTACAGGGCATCCTCCACATAGGGTAGGCTCATGCGTGGCAGACAGTGGAAGAAGCAAGGAGGAGCTGTGCGGTAGGGAAAAACACCTTGGGGAACGAGACAGGCTGCCCAGTGCGTGGGCACCCCGAGCCAGCTGGCCAGTGAGAGCTATTGACCTTGGCAAGCGCCAAGGTAACATTTCTGGCCGGAAAGAACAGCCTGGGTGAGTGGCTGCCAGGAGAGGAAGGGGGGGATGGTTGTGTGGGGCCGATGGAGGATACTGAATCTGACACTCTCATTGGCCTTGCCGTGTGTTAACGTCTCCAGAGATAAGGCAGGTATCTGTGACGGTGCAGCCCATGTTGACACAGTGGCCAGACCACATAGGTGCATATGAGCCTATAAAGGCTTGATCTTAACAGATCTTTTGTTGCTCAGCCAGTAGAGACTCGTGCACTCTGATCTAGCCGTCCCAGGTTCAGTCCCCACAGACAATGACCCGCCCAGGGATGTGGCCTTACCATAGGTCCCCAGAGGCCTGGGAAGTCAGTTGGCTTTGCTGGGAGCCGGGCCTGGCTGTGAGGGTGTGAACGTTCTCGCAGATAACAGAGCAGGGGCTCTCTGGTGACTTGATGCAGGGATCATCCACTGACTGTTTGTGTTTTGCTCTCCACAGCCGGCTGTTCACCATCTCCCTGGCTTCGAGGTAATGCTCAAATCACAGTGACAACTCTGAGGGCCTGACACATCCCCTCAACGGCCAGATCCCCAAGCCCCACCTCCTGCAACCTCCCATTAACGTCTGGGAGCTTTGCCCGAGTCACTGATTTCACCAACATTTCACTGCTGATGTTCCCTCTACCGTGGAGCTCAACCCCCGGGGCTTGGAGCCCTGTGGCCCATCCCCAGAGCGGCAGTGTATGTCTCTGAGAGACGCCAGAGAGAGGTCGCCGCTCTCTGTCTGCCGGCTGCCTGCCTCTGTAGCCCGGACCCCACAGGTTCTAGCAATGGCTGGGTTTAACCCTTTCATCTCAACATGCCATGTTAACGGCGCCACGGCACTGCCCCCAGATCAAAGGGTTGTGGCGTCCCCATCAGCACAGCTGCCTTTCGCTCCCTCCTTGGCCTGGCAGGCTCCATCTACCCTACCTACCACCCACTGTGCCTGCCCCCACTGGCATCTTCACCCACCCACCACCTTCTGTGCCCTTATACACTCCTGCTACACCTGCCCCTTCTCCCTCCGTCCTCCTACCTGATCTCTTCCCCACTGCAGCCTCTCCTTTCTGCTCCACACACAGCCTTTCCTGACCTCCCCGCTCCCTTCCCACTCTCAATGCCAGGGTACGCTTGACCTGGCTTTTCTCTTCCCCTCCATGGCAGCTGTGCTGGAGGGGAGGCCCCTGTAATGCTACCTGTGGGATGGAGAGGAAGGGGAAGCAAGTGGGGTCCCCCATCCCGGAGGGACAGTGCTGGCTGGGGTGTGGAAGCAGCTGGTTGGCAGGGAACAAGTTGGCAAGAGGGGGCTTGGGATCGAGGAGGCCTGGTGAAGCTACATACAATGTTTTCATAGTCTGAGCATGGACAGCCAGGTTGCACCCCAAAAACAGATGCAGGATTAATGTGTCTCATGCCCCCGATGCTACACAGGAGAGCTGGCCAGAAAATGAAAAAATGCTTTTGGAAAAATTTGAAATTTCAAAGTTGGTTCCATTTCATGAGGTTCGAAAGAGAGCAATTTGTCATTTTTTTGACTTTCTTGGTAAATTTTCAAAATTTTAAATCTTCATTTATCTCCTTCCTATCCCTTTCCTTCTTGCCACTAAGTGCAATTAAATACACGATGTCCAGGATTTTATTTTCCCCCTAAACTGTTAGTTCCACCCCCCCAAACTTCTCATTTTGCTACTCTAAAATTGTTAAAAACTTCTCCACTTTTTGTAAAGTTACAGAGCAGCAAAAGGAAAAAATGAAACGAACGCTGCCACCTGTAAAACTTCAAAACTTCTCCAACTTTGGAAAGGTGGAGGAGTAGCAGAATGACAGCATTTCCTTTTTCCTTTGGCTATTTTGTAACTTTTCTAAAGTTGAGGAAGTTTTGAAAAAGTTACAGAGTGGAAAAAGAAAAGAGAAACAAATAAATAAAAAAGCAAAAAATTAGGGCTGTCAGGTGATTAAAAAAACGAATTGCGATGAATTCCGTGATTAAAAAAATTAATCATGATTAATTGCATGATCATGCTGTAAAACAATAATAGAATACCATGTATTTAAATATTTTTGGATGTTTTCTACATTTTCAAATATACTGATTTCAATTTCAATTACAACACAGAATACAAAGTGTACAGTGCTCACTTTGTATTTATTTTTATTACTGTAAAAAAGAAACAAAAGAAATAGTATTTTTCAATTCACCCAATACAAGTGCTGTCGTGCAATCTCTTTATCATGAAAGTTGAATTTACAAATGTAGAATTATGTACAAAAAAATAACTGCACTCAAAAATAAAACAACATAAAACTTTAATCCACTCAGTCCTACTTCTTGTTCAGCAATCGCTCAGACAAGCCAGTTTTTTCACATTTGCAGGAGATAATGCTGCCCACTTCCTGTTTACAATCTCACCTGAAACTGAGAACAGGTGTTCTCATGGCACTCTTGTAGCCGGCGTCGCAAGATATTTCTGTGCCAGATGCGCTAAGGATTCATATGTCCCTTCATGCTTCAACCACCGTTCCAGGGGACATGCGTCCATGCTGATGATGGGTTCTGCTCAATAACAATCCAAAGCAGTGCGGACCGACACATGTTGGTTTTCATTATCTGAGTCAGATGCCACCAGCAGAAGGTTGATTTTCTTTTTTGATGGTTCGGGTTCTGTAGTTTCCGCATCAGAGTGTTGCTCTTTTAAGACTTCTGAAAGCATGCTCCACACCTCGTCCCTCTCAGATTTTGGAAGGCCCTTCAGATTCTTAAACCTTGGGTCAAGTGCTGTAGCTATTTTTAGAAATCTCACATTAGTACCTTCTTTGCATTTTGTCAAATCTGCAGTGAAAGTGTTCTTAAAATGAACCACGTGCTGGGTCATCATCTGAGTCTGCTATGACAGAGCAGGGGACATACAATTCTCCCCCAAGACATTCAGTCACAAATTTAAGTAACACACGTTTTTTTAACGAACATTATCATCATGGAAGCATGTCCTCCGGACTGGTGGCTGAAGCATGAAGGGGCATACGAATGTTTAGCATATCTGGCATGTAAGTACCTTACAATGCCGGCTACAAAAGTGCCATGCGAACGCCTGTTCTCACTTTCAGGTGACATTGTAAATAAGAAGCGGGCAACATTATCTCCCGTAAATGTAAACAAACTTGCTTGTCTGAGCGATTGGCTGAACAAGAAGTAGGACTGAGTGGACTTCTAGGCTCTAAAGTTTTACATTGTTTTGTTTTTGAGTGCAGTTATGTAACAAAAAAATTCTACATTTGTAAGTTACACTTTCACGATAGAGATTGCACTACAGTGCTTGTATGAGATGACTTGAAAAATACTGTGGCACCTTAGAGACTAACAAATTTATTAGAGCATAAGCTTTCGTGGACTACAGCCCACTTCTTCGGATGCTATATGCATTTTATAATAATTTATATAATAAATTTATATAATAATTATATAATAAATTTATATAATAATTTATATAATAAATTTGTTAGTCTCTAAGGTGCCACAAGGACTCCTGTTCTTTTTGCGGATACAGACTAACACGGCTGCTACTCTGAAACTTGAAAAATACTATTTCTTTTCTTTATCATTTTTACAGTGCAAATATTTGTAATAAAAATAATATAAAGTGAGCACTGCACACTTTGTATTCTGCGTTGTAAAAGAAATCAATATATTTGAAAATGTAGAAAAACATCCAAAAATATGAAATAAATTTCAATTGGTATTCTATTGTTTAACAGTGTGATTAATTGCGATAAATTTTTTTGAGTTAATTGTGTGAATTAACTGTGATTGACAGCCCTACAGAAACCCCTCAAACCCTAGATATTCATTTTATAGCGCTCAGAGGTGAAAAGAAATAAGGGGAAAAGTGGGAGAAAGGGACAAATAGAAAAAAGTTACATTTTTGAAATGCGGAGATTTTCATTTTTGAGGAGAAAATGAACTAGTTCAGGGAAATGAAAACTTTTCACAAAAGTTTTGAGTTGTGAAAAAAGGCAAGTTTTCACTGGACAAAGATTCAAATGACATTGGTTTTGATCAGCTCTATTATGAGCAGATGAAATATCGGCGAATGATAGCAGTGCTCTACATGTATGGGGTCACCTCTCTCTTCAGCTCTGAGACCCGTCCATGGCCTCCTTCCCCCTCTAAGAATCCCACAGCTGCAGTGGCCCTGTGCAACAGGGCAGCTTGCCAAGCGCTGGGGCCTGTGGACTCCCTACCTAAAGGAAGAGAGGGACTGAGCTAGGGGCGAGAGAGCCACCCTGCCCCTGTTAGCCTCCCTTTGTGTACTCTATAGGAACTCCACAGTCTCTCTTCTGGCTCAGAGCACCCTCACCTCAGGCTGGTTTAATAACAGAAATGGTTCACGCAATCCTCAGCGTGCAAATCAAAGTCCCTAACCCTAACACGAAGGGTCACGGTCAGTGCTGGTGCTTCTGCCACACACACAGCCCTAGCTCTGTCTGGATCCGCTCCACCCAAAGCAGCCAGTCCCAGCCTTTTCTGGCTGGAGCGCTACCCTTGACTTCCTCTCCTGGGCAGCCAGAGCCCGTGCTGTCCTGCTGCTCTTTATAAGGAAGCCCCGATCCGACCCAGGTGTGGCTCCTTTGTAATCAGGGTTGGCTGGCCCAGGCCCTCCAGCCCTTAAAACCAAGCCACCCTGTTACACATGCATTCCGCTAGGCAGCTTGCCGTACGAGCGACTGACTCTCAGATGCATCGTTGCCTGTATTGCCCTGAGCCATAGCATCAGCATTACTTTCATAAAGGGGCTTATTTCCAAACGACGGCAGGATGTTTCCTGCGGTGCAGAGCGTGCATAATGATATTTTAATGTCCTTTCTCTCTTCCTCCTCCAGAGCGAGCTGTCCGCCAGTCTGGATGAGGTGAGCTTACCGTGTCTGCAAAGCTGTTTGTCTCTTCCCCGTATATGTAGTTATGATTTTATAGCAATTCTGCCCAGCGCGGGCAAGTGATCGGTTTGATGGGTGAGCCCAATGAATAGCATTAGCTTCTTACTTCTCTTAGGCACCAGTGGAAGGATAGGGACGTGGATTTCGTGCCTGATCTGGGAGTTTCTAACAGCAAGGCAAGGAGGGTGAAATTCACTCCGTTGCAGAGGACTGGCATGACGCCTCTGCACCCTTAAGGATTAAGTGGGTCCTAAGTGATGCCTGGGCTTTGTGCTGGGCACCTGCCCTGGGGTGAATTCGGTCCTTAGTGAGGTGCTGACGGGCGTGAGGGGTTTGGGAAGTTGCAAGATGGTGGTAGCCGGAGAGCAGTTCAAGCTGTGACGTTTAGATCGACAATCCCCAAGATGTGGAGTGTTTGGGTCCGTTGGGCTGCCTTAGACTCGCTGCAGTGATCAAAGGCCAGACACACAGTTTGGTCCCAAATCGGAACTGTCCCAAAACGTGAGCGTCCCTGGGTCTGGTGATTTGGTTCTGGCCCGTTATAGAGCTAGGGAGCTAACTGCAGAGTTCAGGCCTGGGCCAGGACTTTCCCCAAAGTGTGGGTGATCTTTAGATTGGTTTGGGCCCATCGCTAGTGGCAAGAGGAGTTAGAGTTAGGTGTGCCTCAATTCACAGACCTGGTCCTGTCGCTTAGTCAATCAAGGTTCCTGCTCTTGGATCCCTAGGTCCTGGGTTCGCTTTCTGTAGCTGACCCTCCTGGTTACCCCACACTAGGGTGGGTTGCATTTTCATGCATAGTCAGTCGCAATGCAAGCATGTGCAGTTCTGCTGGGCTGAACAGCTGCACCTGCTTGCACCAGGGATGAAACAGCACAGTCCACATCATTACTTTTGGTTCCCTTTTTCAACAGCCTCAGCTGACAGGCCAAAGAGCTGAGTGGGGCATGGAGATTCCCTTTTCCCCCTTTCCTCCCGTCCCCCAAGGGTAGGTTGGGGCACTGTTTGGAAACAGAACTTCCATCTTGTGGAAAGTTTTAAGTTTTCATCCCAAATCCAGGACAAAACCCCCAAACAGCTGGAATAGAAATTCCACAAGGTTCTGTTTTGGAAGCACTGGTGGGCAGCTGGTCACCTGGGGAGCTGGCCACCGAGGGAGCCAGCCAACCAGGGAAACTGGTAGCCCAGGGAGCTGGAGACCTGGCTGCTCAGGGAGCCCAGGAACCAGGCAGCCTGCCCACTGGGCGGGTAGTCTGGGAGCTGGGAAGTTGGCCACCTTGGGAGCCTGGCAGCTGATCAGGAGGGCTGCAGGAGAAGTGAGAAGCCCAGGGAACCGGGTAGCTGGCAGGCCAGGCTTCCATCGAAAATTTCAACAGTCGACCCATTGTTGCAAAATGTTTCACTTCTGTCTAATCAGCATTTTCCAATGGAAGAGTTTTGACCAGCTTCATTTTCAATCCAGCTGTTTTCCCAAGCGCCAAATACCCCTGGGCTCGGTGCTTCCTCTCTGGAGGAGAGGGACTTACCCTCGTGCTTTGCAGGTGCTGAACTGAACTCTGCCAGGGAAATGTAACCATCTCTTTGCTTTTTCTCCCCCTTCCTCCCCCACGGCCATTTCTGGGATTGGCGCGCCACAGCTGGGCACACCTGCCTTCTTCTACGAAGGGCTCCTGCAATGGGTACCATTCAGTCTCCAACCCTTGACCCTCCCGTTCCTCTCTGTACGTGGCTGGGGACTAAGCAAAGTCCCAACAGAGCTTCCCAGTGTGGAAACCAGCTCCTTCCCCACTGGAGAGACTGTCTGGCCTGCCCAGACCAGCCAGCCGAGCCGCCGTGTGAAACCCCCAATGGCAGCACTCATGTCTGTGCTGAATTCTCCACGGCCCTTCCTCTGGGGAGTTTTCTCGCCCACGTGGCCGGTGTCAATGGCCACCCAGTGGCTACGGGAGAGCCAGGCCCATGGTGTTAATGATGGAGCTGAACCACAACGCTGGAGCCAAACGGGTGCAACCTGGCACTGTGCCATTGGAGTTGTGGGTCAGATCACCAGCAACGGCAAATCAGAGTTACTCCAGCAAAGTCAATGGGCCAGATTCCCACCCAGTGTAACGTGGTTATAGCCCCACTGGAGTCACTGGGGCCAGATCCCTACCGGGTGTAAATTGGTGTAGCTCCATTGGTGTCAATGGGCCAGACGCCCCGGCGGTGTAACTTGATTACAGCCCCACTGGAGCTGGTGGGCCAGACTGCCCCGGTGGTGTAACTTGGTTATAGCCCCACTGGAACTGGTGGGCCAGACGCCCCGGCGGTGTAACTTGGTTATAGCCCCACTGGAACTGGTGGGCCAGACGCCCCGGCGGTGTAACTTGGTTACAGCTGCAGTGAAATAACCTGGGCCAATTGTGTGCCACGGGAGAGTTGACAGGAAGGAAGTAAATTGCCTTGTCTCTGTCGGGCCCGATCTGCATCTGCTTCCCAAGACGTCTCCTCCCGCATAGGGTTTTGCTGCATGTTCCAATGGAAACGTCAGGTCCCTGCAATCTCCTGCATTAAAACAGCGCCAGCCTGTCAGCAAACCCTGCCTCGATGCTTTTCACACCTGTTTCTTCCGATGGATGGAACAGGGGAAGCTCTGTTTGGTGACTGCTTGTGCCCTGCCCACGGCTCTGTAACCCCTTTCACCGCATCCCCACCCATGACCTGCTCACTCATCTTTTCTCTCCACCTGCTCCTGACAGAGGTTAAAGGTCAAAGGGCTTGTAGCTTCAGCAGATGGAGCACCCCTGCAAACAGTGCTGGACGGGAAAACTGTTCTCACCAGATGGGATTGTTGGATTTTTAGGGATTTGGCTAGCACCAGTCACCTACTGACATTTCAGGCACAGCTCTGCCACACTCCGGCGCTACCACTTTGCCAGTGGGCTTAGCCAGTTATTCTTTAATTCATGGTTTTGTTTCCTCTCCCCTCATTTTGCTGTCAGATTTTGAGTCCAAAATCTGAAAACTCAATAAACTCACCCAGTTTGCCTGGTTCCAGGTAACTGGCTTGCTTTCGGGCTCCTCAGCTCTACTTTCGGATAAGCAGGCAACACTTTCCTCTTAGTTTTACTCTTCTAGGGTCTTTCGATTATTTTTCCTTCTGTTGTGAGGCTGGCCCTGGCACAATCTTCCACTTATGGCTTCTTCTCTCGTCTCAGGTTCAGGGCGGGAGAGTCTGTATTGGATGCGAGGCATCCGGACTCCTGGGTTCCATTCCCAGCTCTGTCATTCAGCCTGGACAAGTCGCTAATGATCAGAATTTCAGAGGAGCTGTAGTTCCTGTTGAGTTAAATGGGAGCTGCGTATGCTCAGTTCCTCTGACAGTCAAGCCACTAACTATTCTGTTGCTCAGGTTTACCCGTACAACTGGAATCTCATTCCAGAGCTGTCTCAAAGTGGGGGACGACTAATACATAATGGGGGAAGGGTCTGACTCAGCAGAGCATTTCTAGATATGCTTAGCTCCAAGCAGGTGCTTTAGGCCATCCCGGTTCAGGAAAGCATGCGAGTATATCTTTAAATCCAATTGAAATCGATGCAACTTAAGCACCTGCTTAAAATTAAGCCTGTGCTTAGCTAAACAGGGATGGACTTAAGCACGTGCTTAACGTTAAGCATGTACTTAGGTGAATTGGGGTGCATGTTACCGTGCTGCCCCTTAGTGACTGTTCCAACGAGGATAAGAGCCCTACTACTAGTGACAGCTAACGAAGATTCTCTGGAAATGGTGGAGGCCAGATTGCCAGGTACTGAAGTTCCTGGGTTCTATCCCCACTGATGACTATGGGTACATTACACCTTCTGCACTTGTAGAATGCTCATGGTGAAACCTTGGGACCCTAAAGTCAGGCACCTAAATAAGTGCCTTGATTTCCAGAGGAGCTGAGCACCCACCGGCTCCCATTCAAAAGTTGAGGGTGCGCCATACTTCTCAGGACCAGACCTTGATCTTTGCCCGTGAAATGATTGCGTGTCTCCGGGTTGTAAGCCTGGGCTACTGTGTGTGTGCAGTGTGACTGGGCAAGCCCAAGACACTCAGGGACAGGGGTGGGTGGGGAGATATTTACTATCTGCCCTGTGTTGAAAGCCAGATGCTCCCACCATCCTGCCTGCCCCAGAACGGAATGAGCAAAGTCTTCCGCGAACCAGCTGCTTTGATTTGGCAGCCACCAGCAGTTGCGAATGAAAATCACAGCTCAGTGTACAATCTATCCAATATGCCAACAAGAAAAATGTCTATGTAGTGCTTTTAAATATATAAATATAAATCTGACCCAATCCTATACTTGAAATATATATATCCGCTTAATTTAATGCAATAACACTGAAGCCTGGAAAGAATGACGGCCTTCTAAATTAGTTCCAACTGCCCTCGGTTGAGGGGCGCGTTTTTAGAGATTTTGCTTTCATTCCCATTTTTGGTGACTCTGAACTCAGAGACCAAGGTCAGGAGGAACCAGAACTCCACCCATGAAGGTAAAGGTGGACAGCTGGTCCACAGAGAGCAGCCTTGAAACTACAGCTCTCCTCCCCGGATCTCTCTGCGAGAGGAACTTTAACCTCTCACCTGTCCCCTTGATATATTGTCATCATGAAGCAACATCTCTCTGTGTGTCTTTTACACTAACTGTTTTACCTGTGTATTGCCTTGTGGCCTTCAGCGTGTCAGCCACCAGGTGATACTGCCAATTGATCTATTTGATATGGCTGCTCCGCCAATCCCCCTTCTGGATGAGAACCGTTGACCTATCTCAATCCGCCACCCACTGCAGTTCCAGTGGATCCCTGAGTCTTCATTTCTTCTCCTAGACTATTGGGCAGCATAGAATAGCTTCCGTTGTCTCCTGCAGAAGTGACTGCATTTCAGTGGTGGGCAAACGATCCCTTTAAAGACCTAGGGAACAAAACCAACATGTAACAGTAGGTTATTGTTTGCTCCAGACGCTGGGGCAGGCGGAAAGAAGTGGTTTGCACGTGCCATTTCTCCCCATCAGCCCTTCTCTCTGACTAGGAGCTAGCGGACTCTGAAATGTGTGGTGGGCGCCGGGGGGAAGGGCAGCGATAGGAGGCGCGTGATCTGTGGCGGCTGTAACAACCTGAGCTGACGTTCTCCTTCAATATCCCCTTGCAGTCTGCAGACTCGGACCTGCCCTACCCTCCGCCCCAGCGGGAGCCCAACATTTACATGGTCCCGCAAGGGATCAAACCGGTGCTCCAGCGCACCGCCATCGAGGTGAGCGGTTCGTAGATCGAATCTGAACGGCACAACTGTGCATCACAGACCCTTACGATGGGGGGGCTGCTGCTGAAGAGTGGTTCTCCCTGGAGAGGGCGCCTAGTCTTAAAGCCTTCCTCCCCCTCTGAGCACGGCCTCAACTGACCCACGGGCTTCCCTTTGATCATGTAGTCCTGTCACATGACTGCCACCTGACCCTATTTCCCAGCAGGACCTCCTGCTTCAGCTTAGCCACGTGAGCCTTTTGGGAGAACGAGGAGTCCCAGAATGCCTGGCCTCAAAAGAGGCTTAAACCCTTACAACAGGGCAAACTGGCCCTTGGCCACAACTACCCTTAAAGGGGACCGTTCGCCGTGTGGTCAGGGCAGCCCTTCAGAATTAGACTCTCCTCTCCCCAGCTGGAGAGAGAGGAGAATCAGATCCTTGGGGGTGGGGGGTTTCCTGGCGCATCTATATCAGTGCAAAAAATGCAGTGTAGACAAGGTTCTTATCTGTCATCTGCTGTCACTGCCTCCCCTCATCCCGGTGTCCTTCCTCATCTCCTCTCGTCTCTTCACCCTGCAGATCTTGGCCTGGGGGCTGAGGAACCTGAAGAGCTATCAGTTGGCCAGCATCACCTCCCCCAGCCTCCAGGTGGAGTGCGGAGGCCAGATGGTTCAGTCCTGCGTCATCAAGAACGTCAGGAAGAACCCCAACTTCGACGTCTGCGTGCTCTTCATGGAAGTGGTGAGGGCTCCCCCACCCCGCACGCCCGCCACCCGGCTCGCAGAGCCGCAGCTGCCCGGCAGCACTCTGCTGGGTTAACCAGGGTGTCGGCTTTCCAGGCGTCCCGCCTTTTAGCTCTGGACGTTGGAGCCGTTCCCAGTGGGAATGAGGCCACCCTCTTCCCGGGGCAGACTGCAGCACGCTCAGCCAAGATGGGGGCGGATCTGTATTCCCGTCCTTGATTGCTTAGGCTCACACATGCTCCTAGAAGCGGGAGATTGGGGGTTTGCTGTCGTTTACCAGCAAGAGGATCTAATGACCTACCACCCCAGTCTGTGATTCTGAATTGCAGCGCTGCAGTAAACTCCTATTCCGCCCCAAAGTTCATCAGCCTGTAAGCAGCTGGAATAGCTTTGCTGAATGTCAGGCAAGGAACCGTGGATCCTAACCATGCTCCATGGGCCCTTTGCTCCAGGAAGTGCCCGTTGATCGCAGCGCACATGGGTTAAAGTGCAGTGACGTGAGGCTGTGAGTTCTGATAAGAATCAGACCTTCAGAGGTATTCCGGTGCCTCCTTCCAACTGAAATCCAGGGGAGTCTGGTGCCGGAATACCCCAAGCCCCTAGTGAGGAGCTCTGACATGACTCTCAGGGCCTGCTCTGTGGGGGCTTAGCCAATTGGGTTGAAAGGGAGCAGGACTGGGTCCCTACGTGGCGGGCTGAGGGCTCTCTGTGTCTTTCAGGAAGTGCTCAGACCCCTGCTGAATTGGGCTTTTTCTGAGAGACTGAGAGTCTTGCTAGCCTGTTTTCCCAGTGTGACCCGCCTGCCTCTGTCTGCCGAGAGAAACGATGGGTGACGCTTTGCCCTGACGTACACCCCCCTTTGGTGGTGTTGCACCGGGAATAATTAAAGGCAACATTTGCCCCAGCGGCTCAGAGGGCTGTGAACAGCCTCCGCCCAGCTCAACACTGTTAACTCGGGTGTCTAACCAGGACAGCCTGAACCACCACATTGTTGGTTATCTGCTGCGCCCATTAGCAGAAACACCCAGCCCTTCTGGGACTGTGGGCGGGGCTTGGGTTTGTGGGAGGAGCTTGAGGAGCCCGGCTTTAGCTCCAGTCTGTCTGCCAGACGCAGGGAAGCTGCCCTTTGCCCCTCTCCCCGGCCACGCAGTGCTTAGTATGCTTCCCTCGCTGCAGCGCCTACCCAAGGAAGCTCTGTACTGCCCTCCTGTCATCATCAAAGTCATCGACAACAGGCAGTTTGGCCGAAAGCCCGTGGTGGGCCAGTGCACCATCCGGTCCCTTGAGGAGTTCTACTGCGACCCGTACAGAGAGGAAACCGACACCCCCGAGGAACAGCCAGGTACGGGAGGGGAGAGGCTCGCTCCCTTGTCCTTCTCCCTTCCCTGCTTCAGCCACTGAGGGAAGCGGGAGACACTGTGGTTGAGTGGACAGCGCACAGGACGCTGAGCCTGGAACTCTGTGCCCCTGTTCTCCCGTGACAGCACAACGGGCTTTGGACAGTGCAGGCCTGACTCACCTTGGTAGTCAGAGCAGGTGGGTCTCATCAGGAACAGCGTAGGAGGAGACTCAGTCTATCTGAGGCCAGATAGAGCCAGAGGGAAGGGCAGTGAGAAATCCTGATCAGTCCACTGAGGAGATGCCTCTCTGTGCCTCGGTTCCTCATCTGCAACAGCGGGATGATAGCACTTCCCTTCCTCGCAGGGCGTTGTGAGGATAAATACATTAAACACTGAGAGGCGCTCAGGTGATGGAGGCCAGATAAGTATCCTCGATAGATCCATTGTGCGTGGTTGGCAAGCCACAGATTTACATTTTCCATCAGTATGTTGGGAGCAATAATACTTATGAACAGGGCAATTGCCAGATTGGATCAGACTCCAAGGTCCATCTGTTCCAGTATCCTGTCTACGACAGTGGCCAGTCCCAGCTATTTCAGAGGAAGATGTGAGAAACCCCTTAGTGGACAGTTACAGAATAACCTGCCCCTAGGGGAAATTTATTCCTGACCCCTATTAGTTAGAGGTTGATTTATGCTCTGGAGCATCAGGGTTTATCTCTCTATTATTTGCACTAATGTAGCTGTGGATGCGCTCATTATTCCTGTAAAAATGCTGAATCCCGTTTTTGAACCCTGCTGAGCTCTTGGCTTCAATGATACCTAGTGGCAATGAGTTCCACAGGTTCTCAAGTCTCACTGTTTGGTGAATCATTTTGGGATTGTCCTCAAAGGGAGCCAATTAGTGCCATTGGGCTGTTGGTTTTGTGAGATGCTTTTAGTGGTACTCCCATTGATGCTTGCACAGTAGCAAAGCACAGCATACTGTGGGTCCTACATAAACAGTGGCAATGTGTGTATAAATGTATATCAATATAACAGGACTATAACAGGGTTTAAAAGAGAACTAGGTAAATTCGTGGAGGTTAAGTTCATTAATGTCTCTTAGCTAGGATGGGTAAGGAATGGTGTCCCTAGCCTCTGTTTGCCAGAGGGTGGAGATGGATGGCAGGAGAGAGATCACTTGATCATTGCCTGTTAGGTTCACCCCCTCTGGGGCACCTGGCATTGGCCACTCACTGTCGGTAGATGGGCTGGATGGACCTTTGGTCTGACCCAGTATGGCCATTCTAAAAAAATTCTGAAATTGCTCAGGGACAGGGTGGTAGATTAAAACATTAAAGAATCAGATGGACACAATCTCAGTGGATAATAAAGTTAGAATGTCGGTTCTCAAGCTGCTGGGCTCTGTGTTCTCTGAAGCATCAATTTCCTAGTTAGTTTCACCCTTCTTCTCTTTGCAGATGAGGTGAGCCTCACCCCCAGAGACGACGTCCTCATTGATATTGACGACAAGGAGCCTCTGATTCCTGTCCAGGTAGGGAAGGAGTGATAACGGTAGAAAGAAAATAGGCTTCTCCATCTCTTTGGCAGCGGAATACAGCTGGGGTTGCTTGGGTTTGGGGCAGGGGGCAGGGCTTTGCGATGTATTGTGAACTGTCCCGACTCTGCAACAGGGCACATTGCACCTGATAAACGACCTTTCCTTTCACAGCTTCCAACATCTCTGAGTAGGGACAGGTGTTTGATCCCCCACAGCAGGACAAAGGATCCCAGCCTCCTCCTCCTTCCCTCCATTTGAACACAAGACAGAGGTGGTGGGGTTGATCAGGCCTCCTCTGCTGGAGGCATCAGTGCCCTTGCACCTCCCTGCTTAAGGAAAACCCACTCAGGCTGGGCTACCAGTGAAACTTAGTCATTTGCAGGTCTACAGGGGCCAGGAGGAGACACTGACCCATAGGGAGCCAGCAGGCCAGTTAAGAAGGCTTCCAGCTTCTTCTGAGGGGCAGTGCTGAGTGGAGCTAGGGCAGAAGCGGAGTTTCCCGACACTAGCCCAGAACGCCAGGGCCAGGTCAGGATCCAGGCTTAAACACTGCAGCTGAGCACTCACGTGTGTCTGTTCGCTCAAAGGGGCAGCCGATTCTTGAGCTTGGTTATCCTTCCTTTTGCCTCTCACACAGGTCCCCTTGCTTAGCAGTTGGTGGTTACTCTAGAATAAAGATCTACAGCAGCCTATTATCATGTGTATTCCAATAGCCCCTAGAGGGTGGCTCCTAAGACCCCGGCTCCTAAGACCCGCGTGCTGTACATACACCTAGCAAGTGACACACCCTGCCCCGAAGAGTTTACATTCTGAGTAGATGAGACAGATGCTTGTCACTTTTACAGCTGGGGGATCCGAGAAACGGAGTGGCCCAAGGTCACATAGGGAGGCCAGGGTAGAGCTGGGAGCTGGACCCAGGTCTCCTGAGTCCTATACCAGTGCACAGAGCCTCTCTCTTTTCCTGGCTAGTCCGTCTGGGCGCCTTTAGGGCCCAGCCTAGAATTTTGTGGTGGTCCTTCGCTCAGACTCCTTCTTTCTGCTGTGCCTGCACCCACACCCTGGCCCCCAGACTCTGACTGCTCCCGCCGGTGGAAAACAGCAGAGTGGTCATTGCACCTGAAAGAAACGGGTGGTGGATTTCCGTCCAGTGGAAACAAAGGACAACTCCAGCCTTTTTCAGTTTTCATTGGCTTTGGAGCTGGTAGCAGAGATGCAGTGTTTATAGCAGCAGCGGCTGCTGATTGCCAGATCTGCGGGGACCAACCCTCTGTCTCTGGCTGTTATCTGAAAGGGCAGAGTTTTCAGAAAACCCAGTTCTGTGTGGGTAGTGACAGGCTGTGGCATTTTCTGGGATTACAGAGATCGGGGGATTTGACTCGCTCTAGTGGAGGTGCCGAAGGAAGAACATGTTGCTGTTTCCCCTTCCCGAGCTGCCAGTCTGGCGCTGCTCGCTGGCATTCCATCCATGCACATGCGGTCGAGAAGACTGTGGTCTCCAGAGGGCACCATTTATGAGCTCAGCTCCCGAACGTGAGGCTTCCCAGCTCCGTAACCATTTGGCCTTCTTAGCTGCTGTCGAACATGTGCAAACGGTTAAGCCTGTGTGTTTGAGGCACAGGGTTGCATGTGAACTCGATTGCTAAGAAACCCTAAGATGAGGGGTTCCAGGAAGGTCAGTGGAGCATTTTAATCGGCTCCTGCTTTCCCCCCTCTGGTGTGCTAAGCGCCCGCTTTGCCAATCCCGCAGATTCCTCACTGCCTACTTTAAAGAGCCCCTGATGCTGCACAGAATCCTGGGAATGGAAAGCCCTTGTTCCTTGGAAACAATACTGCTTTTTTACAGTATCTCTCTTCTGTTTCTCATCATCCCTTGTGTTCCGTTGCTGTGGAAAGCAGGGTCTCCCATTTCTTCTGTCTTGTTCTTCACCTCGGCTGGGTATCAGTCACCTCCTCCTGTAATGCCCCTGGGGACTCTGCAATCCAGTAGGTCTCCTCCCCCTAACTTATAGGATCCTCCCTGGAAATGGGTCCACACCGGCACCCCAGGATCAAACAGTCTCCTGGAACTTTGGGGAAGTTCTGATTCAGATCCTGGTTTGAAGATGAACTTAACGCTTCGGTTCCATCTCAATCCTAATTCACCACCCTCTCTATGTGTGCATTACGCTGCTTCCCCTGCCGCTAATGTGGCATCTTAGTGCAACCTACCCACCAGTGCGTGTCATGTGTGCTCGATCCACAGCATCTCTGCACACCAGGGCCTTTGACTAGGTGGCTTGAAAGTTTGGGTCAAAGTGCAGCAGTAAAAGTTGTTGGCATAAAACTAGACTCCTTGCCTACGGCTCATCCCTGCTAATCCACACCCCTGGCAAGGAAGCCCATTGCAAAGGGCTGAAATTTGCAAAGCTAGAGAATAAGGGTAACATTTTGAAATGCGGCTGCCCTAAGGTTAGGCTCCTAAATCCACGGTTAGAGACCTAAATAAAAGTGGTTTGGCGTCTCAAAAGTACTGGGCACTCACAACCACTGAGTGTGGCAGGGGCTGAGAACCTGTGAAAATCAAGCTAAATATGGAGCTAGCAGATGAACTTGACACCCAGATTTGAAAACGTTGGTCTAAGTGAACACTCATAATCAAAGGGGGCGGGGACGACCCAAAGGATCATGCGATAAAAATGTACTCGGTTCTCTGTTTGCCATTTGTGGATTCATTTGAATTATTTATGATAATGTTTCTCAATGTACCAGGGAAGGCACTGGAACATGTCTTGGAAAAGACTGAAAGTTTAGTAATAGGATACTGTGATGCTCTGCTGTTCAGGAAACCCAGAGCCGTAAGCCACTGGGTCAGCAAGGGTGAGCTTTGCTGGGGGCTAGACTGTGTGTCCGCTCCCTGCCACCCCAATCTGGGCTTCACCAGCAAACTCCTCGAGACTCTGCCCATCTTCACCTAGCCTGGCAAGTAACAGTCAGGGAGCCCCAGTTCCCGAGTTCCCCAGAGATGTGTCTCTATTGCGTCCAGTCCCTCTCACTGGACGCTGATGGAAATAATTCAGTTTTGCTGTCTCCAAAGAGCCAGTACCCACACCTGCCTGTTGGCTGAGCTGTGGACTCACTCTTTATGTCAATATAACAGTACGGCATGGGTTACAGTAAAACTAAGACAAACGCCATATTAAAAAAGAACAGTGTTTTAAGTGACACTAGGCAAGAGAAAAAGAAATGGGTATGGTTACAAACAAACAAAAACAGCATGTTTTCTAGTGCCCAAAACTTGATCCTAGCAAGCTGTGGCTTTGCCAAACCAGCTTGCTCACTCCCATCAAGCTAACCGCATCTCCAGCCTTTCTTGGTAAGAGATCCAACATTCCCAGAATAAGAGGGGGCTGTCCCCTAGGGTCTAGATAACTAGAATGTCTTTTGGCTCCCCTGGAGTCCATTGTCTTGGCCTCGAGAGCCAGGAAGAGGTCGTGGGGTGCAGACTCTGTCCCCCTGTATGCTCACTAAGCTGTTTTCGCTGCCTCCTGTTACCTCGATTGCGTTGTTTACCTTATATGTAAATGTATTGCCATTGTTCATGGCTTACAAAGCTTGACCCAGACAGGTAAATACACATTCCTTTGTATAAGGCAGGCTTCTTTATCAAGTCTGCCCCCCGAACATATTGTAGGAACATATTTCCAGCACATAACATAACTCTTTACACACCATCCAGCCGTACATCACATACATATATTCATGACCAGCGTGCCACCAGTTTTTATATCAGAGGGGTAGCCGTGTTAGTCTGATCTGTAAAAAGCTACAAAGAGTCCTGTGGCACCTTATAGACTAACAGACGTACTGGAGCGCAAACTTTCGATGGAACCGAAGCATGAAGTTCATCTTCAAACCAGGATCTGAATCAGAACTTCCCTAAGGTGCCAGGAGACTGTTTGATCTTGGGTAGGGTTACCATATTTAAGGTTTTAAAAAAGAGGACACTCCATGGGGCCCCAAATCTGCCCCTTCCCCAAAGTCTCCGCCCCAACTCCGCCCCCTCTCCTGAGCGCCCCACATTCCCCCTCCTCCCTCCCAGCCACGCGAAACAGCTGCCCGAGCGCTACCGGCTTCACGGTTTGCCAGGCAGCCCCCAGACCTCCAGACCCGCTGCGCCCCCGGCCTGGCACTTCCCCAGCGCAGCCAGAGCCCGGGAGGGGAAGCGCCCGGCCGGGGGCGCAGGGTCTGGAGGTCTGGGGGCTGCCCGGCAAACTGTGAAGCCGGTAGCGCTCGGGCAGCTCGGCTCTTCAGCTACACAGACCTGAGGTGTCTGGGGGGAGCAGCAGAAGCCGCCGCCGCAGCGGGGAATCCGCCTGCAGCTCGCAGCCTGCTGGAGCCGCTCAGGTAAGCAGGGGACTGGGGCAGAGATGCCGGCATTTTCCCAGACATGTTCGGCTTTTTGGCAATTCCCCCGGACGGGGATTTGAGGACCAAAAAGCCAGACATGTCCGGGAAAATCCGGACGTATGGTAACCCTAATCCTGCGGTGCAAGACTTGCATCTGAAGAAGTGAGGTTCTTACCCATGAAAGCTTATGCTCCCAATACTTCTGTTAGTCTCTAAGGTGCCACAGGACCCTCTGTTGCTTTTTACAGATTCAGACTAACACGGCTACCCCTCTGATACTATAAATTAGTTGATTCAACATTTATTCTTTGGGGTTCAGACCCCCTGCTCTCCCTCTGCGGAGTCCAGACCCTGATGGTCACGGAGATCTCGCTGAGCATCGGAACGATAAAACCACTCTCCTGCTGTAGAGTTCAAAGCGCTTTAGGCCAAAGGAGAGGCAGTGTGGGGTAGTGAATACGGGACAAGCGTGGTACTCAGGAGGTCTGGATTCTGTTCCAGCTCTGCTAGTGACCCTGGGTAAGGCCTTTCTACACCTCATCTGTAAAATGCGGGATCTCCTCATGAAAAGTGCTATAGAAGAGCTCGGTGTTGTTATTATTAGACAT